ATTGACCATTATCCATGTCTCGAATTCATACAGATATCATAGAACGAAGTCATAGTTGATCACTTATCTAAGGGATGAATCTTGATTAGATGAAGAGTTCGCTAGTTGCATTGGATGGCTAACTCTTTGTTGATTATTGCAGAAATATTGGTCCTCGTATAGTTGATAACTTGTCTAAATGGGAGACTGTTGGAAATAGTGTCCAAGGTCATTAACTATTGGTAATATTTCTACTAATAATAGGGTCCTTTTGGGTTGCCCTCAAGACCCAAATTGAATAGAATAAATAAATAGGAAATTGGTTTATTAATTATGATGGTTAATAATTTATTATAAACTAAATGGAAATATATTTTGAGAGTTAATTAACAGTTTAACTAATTAAAGGGTTGAATATTCATTAATCGATATTTGGTTAATCAGGAATATTCTTGAACCCTTACGGAATAAGGGTTGGACGAAAGTCACTCCATCCTACATGGGAAAAGGAGTGAATTTCGATGTTGGCCTCCTATCCCACATGGGAAGGAGTACAAAACCTAGGAAGGGATCCAAGGTAATAAATAGGGCCTTAGGGATTTCATTCTTCCTTGCACCTTGGCTTGAAGCCAACCCTTCTTCCTCCTCCCATAGGGACGATTTCTAACCCTCTTAGGGTTTGTGAAATTGACCCTTCTCCTATTTATTTTTATTCCACTCTTTAGTGTCATTGGGTGTGATACCATTAGAGAGATTCTAGTTTGGGTGCTCTCATCCAAGCACCTTCATGGAGGATCAAGATCTAAAGCATGAAGATCAAGGGCAACACAAGAGGTATGTTTTTTTATATACATGTTTTCATAGGGTAGATGTAATTAGCATGAAACCATAGATCCATAGGTTTCATGCACACTTAGGTATATTATTGTTTCAATTTTTCCGTTGCCTAGTTTAGAATGTATTTGATGTGTAGAAAACCCAACAATAGTTCGTATAGGTTACTTGAAACTATTTTATTGATCCTACATATGTTCGATTATTATAGAGGAAATGGTTATATGCAACATGTAGATATTATTTTGCTGAAAAAAAAATCAAATCTGGATGAAATAAACAAAGCAAAACATAAAAATAGAATGAACATAACCCAAACATACCTCATCGATCGGAATTCAACGAGATGATGTTTTGATTTCTATGGCCTCTCATGAAAAGAAAATAAGCTGAAATGGAACCGGTGAAAAATATTATAAAACTTTAAAAATTCTAACAAAATTAAAAAAGAGTAGAGATAAAACCAACCTTTTATTTGATCGATCATTGGAGTATCAATCGAGGTTCACTAATAAAAGAACATAAAAAACAATTAGTTTGAAGGAAGGTGAAAAGAAGGAAACACTAAATTCCAGGTGAGCCATAAACAACGATACCTAGAAACACATATCTAATCAATTGGAAACATACTTCGCCGCCACCATATTGACCTCGGTCGGTAGGGCATCAAGCATTGATGCATCATCGATATTAGGTCAAAGGTGCCATCAAAGATGAACCAAGGAGTCAATACCATAGGAAAAATTGGGGTAGATTAAATCAAATGTGCTCATAAAAGAAGAAACTATAACACATGTAGTGAAATTTAATAGAAATAGTAAACACTAATAAGAAACTCATCATCTAAATCCACGATACACAGCAGAAGAAAATCACTTTGCACAAATTTAGATCGCTTCTTTTAGATCTCCATGCAATTTGAGATTGTTTAGTGATTGCCTATAAATCTAGTCTAACACTTGATCATAACCTAAGATAACCAAATTTACATGGTAAATCCTAATAGATCCCCCAAAAAACGATGCAATGTGTGTATAGATGTGCAAGGAGCTAGGATTTACATCATAAAGTCAGAAAATTTTATGATTAACCCCAGTAAAAGGGTATCGTGTACATGGAAATCTCTGTTATGATGAACCTTTCAATAACTAATTTGTTTCTTTCAATTTTGAATAAAGGGGAAAATGTTTGGAAAATATTCTTAATCTTTAACGTTAATCAAAGCTCACATTTGACGTTTTCTAGGTCAATCGATACCTAAATCATGGGTTGTCAATCAATACCAACAAAACGACCGTCATAAATGAATGGAAAATTGAACAACACCGACTATATGAATCAAATTAATAATTCATAATATTAGATTTATGAGAAATCGATACAATAAAAAATGGAGTGTAAGCAATTTCTTAATTCACCATGTTAGTGGAACCATGAGAATTGAAGTGGAGGATTCGTCTTCGTTGGCTTCGATTCAAATTTACTTACAGGTCAAAAAAGAAGTAGAAGAAACAACATATACGATGTCGTTTAGCTTGTGATTCCGAAGAATTACTTACAAAGAACCATTACTCTACACTCTATTAAGCAAAATGCTAACTTGAAAGACCGATAGAAGACAAAGACGGAAGAGTCGGATGAGAATTCTTGAAAAACGTAATGAGGAGCGATAATACAGTCACAGAATCCTTGGTAGACGTTACTGGTGGGGCTGCTGAAGAGAGAGTTTGATTCCTTTAGCCATGTTACTAGAGCCTGTAAGTATAAAGATGATGATTTAAAGCAGATCCTAATACATAAATAATGACAGATGAATGAAAGAATTAGCAGGTCGCATAAAAATCAAATGAAAGCATCATTGCCACTCCATGGACCTTATGTCTGCTTCATCATCAAGTCAGCAAAGAAAAAAAGATGAGGATTCCTTCGTCGGATTCTCTATCTTCTTTATCTAAATTGTTGCTCTCGCCATTGATTAATTTTCCCAGTAGATTGATCGTCTTTTTAGCAAAGCTTTGTCAATCTATCGATCTATAGGAGGAGCAAAAGGAATCATGCGTCTGAGTTCCAGGCGGTGAACTATTATGGAAGCGGCGGATCAGTGGACCGATGAAAGTAACTAGGATGGAGTTAAAGTAACCGGATGAACAGTACCTCGGTAATGTATTGTTCATAAGAATGCCTACTAGATGATAATGTTGATATTACCGGTAGAAATAGCCACAAATCATTATGGTATTATAATTATTCTTTATAATTATTAATTTACTATGTAAATTTAAGTTAGTGTTTGGTACGATGTAATAGTTTATTCCATTGTAATGAAAAGAAGTTGTTTGTGTTGTCTCACTTAATGAAATGAATATTCGTGCCACTTGAGTGTTTTTTGGTTCTATCTTGAAATATAATGAAAAATTACAGTATACCTCATTTTATATATCTAAACTTTCAATTTCATAAATCTTAATGGTATTTTACTATAATAAATTTTTTTATTGTGTTCATAAAAATTGCATTACCTCTATATATATATATATATATATATATATATATATATATATATATATATATATATATATAATATATATATATATATAATATATATATATATATATATATATATATATATATATATATATATATAAAGTAGAGTTAAACTCTATGTTATATAGGTATATAATTTATACATATAATCTCATTTGTACACGCCAAGCCAACATGATCATAGGGGCGACAAATAGGTTGTATTTCTGTGATTTTGCCTAGCAACGACACGATATAAATTATTTTCTATGAATCCAAACGTAACAAGACACGATAGCATTTTTTTTCATTAAAACAAACACGAAATAATAAAAACATGATAACACAACAAAAATAACAAAAAAATAACCATTTGTATAATGTCATATATAGTTTCTTGTAAAAAATAAATTTAATGAAGAACACGAATAACAAGACAAAAAAATAACATAAAAACAACATATAATGCTAATAAATATACACGACGTCCGAACACTACACAAAAACATGCTATTATTGAGTTGAATTTTAAACACGAACATAAGATGACGCAACATTGTGTTTTTTATACACTACACAAAAACAACATGGACAAGAATTTGAAATTCAATTCCGTCTCAATTTCGTTTCATATCATGTATTTTTGTCGTGTTGTATCGATTTTTATCATCCTTAATGGTAACTTGTAAATAACTTTATCAGGTAAAATATAGGGGTAAATTTAAAGAATAGCAATATAGTTTAGTTTATTATTTTTTATATTATAACATTATATTTTCATTTCTTTCTATTAGAATTCATACTTTAAAGAATATACACAGATATAGCAATATTATCCATTGTTATAATTGTGTAAAATATTCAAATTACAATGTTTTAATAGAAACAATTATAAAATGTTCAATTTCCATGGAGGCAATATATTATATGAATGAACTTGACCACTATTTAGCTTTGGACTAAATATTTGAAATAACTATGTACTTTCATGTAAGTTTAATTATTTATCTTTTGTTCATGCCATAAGTGTTATATCTTTTTGTGTGGCCCTTTCAACAAATACTTGGCTTTTGTTCGTGCTATAATTGTTATATCTTTTTTGTTTGGCACTTTCAACACATAACTCAAATGCCTACATTATGCAATTTCCACTAACATTATAAAAATAAAAAATTTCAAAAATTGTTTGAAACTAAAACTTCAAAAAAATACATCATATTATAAAAATTATTGTTTAAACTCTCTATTCAATATTTTGTTTTTGAAATGACAAACTAACTGATTAATCTACTCCTAAATAACCATTTATGTTTTCAAAAAGACTTGAACACATGACCTCTCAGTGTAATACTTGGCTTTCAAAGCCTATCTTTTTACGTATTAAATGGACTTAACAATCTAAACGTGAAATTAAAGCGCCGGATGGCGAAAAAAATACATTATTTAAAGTTGAAAAGGTTTTTTTTTTTTTTTTTTGGGTGAACATAATTCCTAATTTCTATAAACCATATCGATGAAATTTTGTTTGCCCATATTTTATGAACATTTTCTGGAAAAAAAAAAAAAAAAAGATGTATCAATCTTTTCACATTGCATATCAATTCCCTTTTGTTATTTTGAATGTGATTTCCCAGTCTTTAGTTGATGGAATCATGAAGCCGTATAATTACTCCTATATATATATATTTTGAATGTAAAATGAAGAAAGTACAAATATTATATATAATATAATTCAGCCCCAGATTACATCCAGGGAAAGCTTAGTTTCATCTCTTCCTATAAGTAAACAACTTCACTCTGTATGGTTAGAAACAATTAATTAAAAAAAGATTGAAAAAACCCTTGTAATTAGTAATTATGATGTACCCAGATAGTAGAAAATGCCAAAGCCAAGGTCACACATGGCCATATCACCTTCTCCAAAACCAAACTTGAAATACCCCATCCTTCATTCTTTTCCTCCTCTCCATCCTCCATTCGTATGCTATTACCAGCTGAACCACCATCATCATCCTCTTTTAACTTCATATCACCACCATCTTCTGTTGACTCTTCAAGATAAAAGCAACATATCAACAGAAGGGAAACCAAGGTGACCAAAGGGGTCTTTGGTTTCTTGTTAATCACCTCAAATGGTTTGGAACTTGTGATCATCTTGAACTTGTCATATAAAACTTTCTTGCTAACCGTTGTCTGGCTATCGGATTTAGATACCGTTTGATCATGTATCATTCCTGGGTTCAGATGGACTTTGACTATTTGAGAAGGTACGATTTGGTGGAAGAAGGTTTCTGAAACCTGTCGGGTTGAAACAATCAACCCATGAGTACTGACTTTGGTTTTCTCGTAGATTTCAAAGCTTGGAGTTGTAGTAAAGTCCTCCAAATCGGCTTCGTCTAACAAGTTTTCATTCGAGTTGTCATGCTCCTCGGTGGTGATTCCAAGTGAGAAGTGATCTTCTCTATTGTCGAAATTGTTTTGATGGCTGCTTTCTCCTGAAAGTGTTTTTCAAGCTCTTAGTGAAATAGGGTCTAGCTATGACAACAAAGATATACATATATGGCATAGATTCTTGGAAAATATGGTAGCCAAGGCTTAGTGATTTTTGTACCTTGAACCTCATGCTCCTCCTTCTGAAAACTTGGCATATTTTCCACTGGAACATTCTTGTAATCATCCCAATTATAAGTCTGTAAATGTTAAGAAAGTTAGTGTAACTTCATGGTTTCTGGAATTATGTAATACATCTAGAAGCCCTAAACCACTCTATGGGACCTACTATGAACATTAGGGTTAGACACAAAAAAAAATAAAAAATATGTGAGCACTTGCTTTTAATTTCCTTGCTTATTTGTTAAAATTAAAATAAGTAACGAGTAAAAAAGAATGATAATTACCATCTCAAGATCTTTGTTAGACATGCCAACCCATCTCAAATTCTCAACCATTCTATCACTTCTGAGCTGTTGTTCATCGACACCACCAACCTCAATAGACCTCGCATTCTGATCATCCCCCATGAACCTAAACGAGCCCACATCTTGCACTTGAATGTTGTTATCATTATCATCCAAAAACGAAAAATCATCTTCCTGATGACTGGAATAACCTCCACCCCAGTGTTCTGATTGATGTGATCCTGGGAAACTTGAGCGAGAGAAAGGATTTCATGCAATATGTCCTGCTGAGGACCATTTGTAGTTGTGACATCGCGCATGCTGCTGCTTGTCGTCTGTTGCATATTCATTAAATCCACGTAGCTTGTAGCTCCTTGATGTGGGAGATCTTGTACTTGCAATGGAGGCATTGATAACCTTTGTTGCAGCCTTGCACATTCTAATGCTATATCAACCTGAGAAAAAACATTGGAAAAAGGTTATATACAATAAAGTCTTTTAACATATATAGTATACTCTTGCATGGTTACACAAAATTTATATTTTAATTAGCCAATATGTATCTTGTAGTTCTAACTAGCTTAGCCTTTTTGAATGAAATTCTTTCTATTCTTAAAAAAATAATAATAATAAAAATAGCGTATATGTCAATTAACAGATATTGAACTTCTCCTAATACACTTTCAAACTAATTAAACGCATCGACGACGTTTAATGAAAATGATATAGGATTAAATTGTGAGTTGATGATATGAATAGAGTTAAATGCGACGTTTAATGCGATAAATTCTTAGTCATCTATTCTTTATCAATCAAATAAATCTAAATCAATCCGGCCAATTCTTTTATATTCTTTTATAAATACATAAAAACCTAAAATGCTTATAAATAAATAATATATACCTGGAATATTAATCACATTTCAAACTTTTTTAAAGCTTATGTGTATATTATTATATATTATTCTAATTACTATATATTTATGCATCAAAGTATTTAGATTATTGTAATTTTATCTATTGTATATTTAGAATTAGTGTAATATTATATTATTTAATTTGTAATTTATTTTTTCTGATTATAATATTTACAATTTATGTAATATTTCAACATTCATAAAATGACCTATATATACTGTATAAAATATAAATAATCGTAAATTTGATGATGAAATGGGAATCCTTTGAATTTGTTAATTAAAGTTTAATGGTTTGTAAGATATCAAAAAAATTAAAGTTGTATGAAAAGCATAATAATGATTGGGCAATCGTTAACTTTGCAGAGTTTGAGATTGCCTGAGCACCCTATTCATTGACTCTAGAATCTACAATCATTACAATCATCTATAACTCCATTTAGTTAACAACCAGTAACTTTTTATTAAAAAAAAAAAAAAAGAAGAAAAAAAAAACTTGAGATGGAACCCTAAAAATTAATGATAGAAGACATGCATGAAGATGAAAATGTATTTTCTATACCTTGGTTGGGGGAAAAGAAACATTCCCATAGTTAGTGAAAGATGGATTCGGGAAAGCGAACGCTTCTTCAGATAAGTACTGCATCCATCTCCCATCACTCGATTCACTTACATTATGTGGTGATCCATGGTTGATATTAGAGGAAGATGAAGCCATTGGTGTTGGATAATTACAAGTCTCCATATCTTCACCACCCCTTCCTCCCTCTGAATAAAGGTCCATACTTGATGAGTGATCACTGACTGCTGCAGCATAATGTACTCCAATGGTCGTCTTTGGAGCATTCAGACTCTTCTTAAACACACGGCAAAGTGAATAAGCATCCTGCAACTTTTAAACCCAAAAAAAAAAAAAAAAGCATTCGGTTTTAGTATTATATAATTATATATGATGTCAAATTTGATGTAGGTGTTAATATAAAACCATGCATGTATATATATTAGTTACTTTGAAGAGTTTTCACCTTAAGACCAGATTCAGTTTCACATTCTCTCTCGTCAAGGCGATATTCATGCATAACCCAATCACTACGAGCACCATGTGGTGCTCTTCCTCTGTAGTAAACTAGGGTTTTCTTCATCCCAACGGCTCTTGATTGTGAATTTACATTCCTGTCCTTCCCTGTTGCCTTCCAATACCCACCTTTGGTGGCTCGGTTTGTTCTTGATCCATTTGGGTATTTACGATCTCTTGGACTGAAGAAATACCACTCTAGGTCTTTGCTTGGTAATAATGATTTCCCTGTGTTGAATAAAAGAGGAATATGTATCAATGAATTAGTATAAGAGATATAAAACCATAACCAGATCATATATATCATCGCAAGATCCGAAAAAAACATGCAAAAAAACTAAGAGACTAATATTTAATTACTTCTTGATGTTTTGATCTTGATATATATTTTTCTCAAAAACCGATCCTTATAACAAGATCAAAATAAAATTTGTATGGAGAAATGGGAAGCACAAGATTTTTTCTATAAATGAAAATATTTCAGGAGTTAGATTTGATGTCAGAAAATTAATAAACAAAGGAAAAGCTGGTAATGATATCTATCTTTGAAAGAACAGGTATGCGTATTTATGTTCTTTCATCTTTAATTTGCTTTTTGACTTCAATCTTGTCAGCTAATTACTAAAAATTTGTTCTTATACCAGTTTAAAAGACGTAGGGGCCACCTTAATTACTTTTAAATAATAACTTTTAGTCATTAAGAAACAATCATGATGGATTTATGGTGATCTTGTTCATGCTGAGTTGTGTAATTTAAAAGTTCCATTCATATTTGACTGGTCTTCTATGTACCTATATATGATACGGTTTTTACACGTCAATTAAGCAGATAATATGACATATAATTTTGAAAGAAAATCCAAATAAACTGATTTCTTTTAAACCTTTTTCACGGGTTATTATGGTCTGAACCAAGAACAAAGTAGAAGCACGCGTAAAGAACATCAAAGAACCTTCAATTTTAGCCTTTAGCAACAAAACAAAGAGATGAAATCGAAAGAATATGTATGAAAGACCCTTTGGCAAGAATCTTGATTTAGCAACATACCTTACACATAAACTGTTCAGGCTCATGCCCAGATCGCTTTTATATTGTATGCTTTTTTCTTTAGTTGTTATATATACACAATAAATGTGTTCAAAATTGTTATATAAGTGAATTATATAAACACAAAAAGAATAAAATAAATCAGCAATGTAAAAACATATATGATAAATATACACGTAAAAAATAATTTTCAAATATTTAACAATAACTGTTACTAGATTTTAGTTTTAGAATATTTTGTTGATACTTGCAGAAACCAGAAAGCAACCTAAAATTCCATTAGATTGAGATACGTTTTCGATTATAGTAAATAAAAATTGAATTGCGATTGGTGTATCGATCACCATGAAGACATGCATATATATACCTGGTAAATCCCAGGGTTCGCACTTGTAGAGGTCGACTTCAGGAATAACTTCAAGCTCGATTTTACGCCCATTTATTTTCCTCTTGAGATAGTATGCAACAAGCTCTTCGTCGGTTGGATGAAAACGGAAGCCTGGAGGCAACGAAACTGGCGCCATTAAATTTTATATTTATAAGTCTATGATGATATATATGTCTCTTCAATACTTGAAATGTTGATCTTCTTCCCGTTAAGTGTGAAAAACAGCGTCTCAGCTAGGTACAGGTAAGCGTTTCTTGTTGTCCCCAGATATATTACACTCACAAAGGGACACCAGCCTTGAGACGCAGAAACACTGCACAAGAAGTTGATATATATATATAATCAGTGCACATTTATAATTAAAAGTATACACATATAAGTACATACAAATTTCTGTATAAATATACGGAGAGAGAGAGAGAGAGAGAGAGAGAGAGAGAGAGAGAGAGAGAGAGAGAGAGAGAGAGAGAGAGAGAGACCTTAGGGGAAGAAGAAGAAGATCTAAAGGGAGATATGACCAGGAAAAAAGAGAGAGGGAATGAAGGGGGTGGTGTTTGGGGGGTTTTGATAGGCGAGGAAAAAGAGAGGATGTGAAAAAGCAAATGGGGTAGAGAACACTTTATCTTTAAATAAATTTGTTTTTTCTCACCACCTTGATGCTTTCTTTCGTTTGTGAGTCTTCTCCTTCCCTTCTCTATCACTAACATATTATTAAATAATGTTTTATAGTACAAATGATCTTTACAAACTATTGATCATAACAAATATCAAAAAATCACGGTCTTACCTCTTAAATTCATATTACTTTTCATTTATATATACTTCTAAAACAATTATTTTTTCTTGTATTAAATTCCTTTGAAATTTCTATTATTTTTTAATTTCTTTTTAATAATGATTATTAATTGATTAATAAAATTAAATAAATATTTAACCTAAACTGTAATCATATATAAATTAAATTTCAATATTAAAATAATATCTTTATTTTTCCTTAAAAATTTATGTCTTCAATTTTTAATATATTATACATAATTTATTAGTATTAAAATTTTGTATTTAAACTATTATCATTTTAAAATTACAATTTTTGAACAATTTAGATAAAATACTGAAATGATTAATTTAAATATAACATTACAAGATCAATTTAAATATAAATTTCAGTTCAACTTAAACAACTTAAAAAATATTTTCTAATAGTTAAAATTAATAAATTATAGTGTGTTTCTAATAATGATTATAAGTTGGTTAATATGATTTATTAAATATCAAACAAAAAGTATAATCATAAATAAACTAAATTTTAATATTAAAATAATTTATTTAATTCTACTTATAATGTTATGTCTCTTTATTTTAACATATTATATTTAATTTATTAGATTTAATATGTTGTTGTGTGTAAACTATTGTCAATTTAAAATTACATTTTTTTAACAGTGTGGATAAAAGACTTAAATTATTAATTTAAATATAACATTACATGGTCAACTTAAATATAAATTTTAATAGTACTTAAAAAACCCAAAGAATATTTCGTGAATAGTTAAAACTGATAAATTGTAGTGCTAAATATAAAAACTAAATTATAATCACAATTTAGCTAAAATATTTTCTAAAGATAGTTATATAATCATTAAAAGTTTTCAAATATATAGCTTTAAATAACTTGCAGTCTATCTATCTATATCTATATCATATCATCATATCGTACTATATTATAAAAGAAACTTTTTTCATGTCACCATATTCATTTGAAACTCTCATGTAATTTTTCTTTCACCGCATTCATTTGAAACTCCCATGACTTTTCAATTTCTTTCTAATAATAATTATAAGTTTGTTAATAAGGTTAAATAAATATCAAACATAAAGTATAATCATATATAAACTAAATTTCAATATTAAAATGATATATTACTTCTACTTATAAAGTGATTTTTTTTACTTTTAATATATTATGCTTAATTTATTAGTGTTAATATATTGTTGGATGTAAACAATTATCATTTTAAAGATAAAATTTTGGAACAATTTGTATAAAATACTTAAATTATTAATTTAAATATAACATTATAGACTCAACTTAAATTTTAGTTTAACTTAAACAACCCAAAAATTATTTTTTTAAATAGTTAAAAGTGCTAAACTGTAGTGTCTTTTTAATAGTAATTTTAAGCTGATTAATAAGGTTAAATAAATATCAAACCTTAAGTGTAATCATAAATAAACTAAATTTCAATTTTAAAATAATATATTTACTTCTCCTTATAAAGTTATGTCTTTAACTTTTAACATATTATACTTACTTTATTAGATTTAATATGTTGTTGTATGTAAAACATTATCAGTTTAAAGCTACAATTTTTGAACAGTTTGGACAAAATATTTAAATTGTTAAGTTAAATACTAACATTACAGTGTCAACTTAAATATAAATTTCAGTTCCACTTAAAATACCAAAGAATATTTTGTAAATAGTTAAAAGTGATAAATTGTAGTGATAAACGCAAAAACTAAATTATAATCTCAATTTAACTAAAATATTTTCTAAATATATTTTTAGAATCGTTAAAAGTTTTCAAATAAGTAGTCTAAAATAACTTACAATAACAAAGTTAAAAATAACTCTATATAAATGATTATATTGTTACCTTTAAAATCAAAAAACAATGTTTAATGTTTTAAATAATTCTAATGATATAAATCAAAACATTAAGAAATTAAATTTTAAAAAATTAATTAACAATAACAACTATAAATAACATTACACCAGATACTATATTTAATTTTATTTATGTGTAACTTGCGGGTAGAATTCATTCAAACGATTGAGATTATGCAATTATAATAGATATATATATTATCATATAACTCAAAATAATTAATATATTATATCAATTTAGTATACGAATTATTGTATCAAAATTAGCAAAATTATTGTTATATATATATATATATATAATATATATATATATATATATATTCGTAAAGATTTCAACTATATAGGTGTTTCTGTGCAACGTACGAATATTCGTCTAGCATATTTATAAAGGAAACATTTTTTCCTTTCACCATATTAATTTGAAACTCCCATGTATTTTTCCCTTCACCACATTTATTTAAAACTCTCATTACTCTTCAATTTCTTTCTAATAATGATTATAAGTCAGTTAATAATTTTAAATAAATATCAAACCTAAAATGTAATCATATATAAACTAAATGTCAATATTAAAATAATATATTTACTTCTAATTATAAAGTTATGTTTTTTTAACTTTTAACATATTATACTTGATTTATTAGTTTTAATATATTGTTGGTGTGAATCATTATCATTTTAAAGCTATAACTTTTGAATAATTTGAATAAAATGCTTAAATTATAAATTTAAATATGAAATTACGGTATCAACTTAAATATAAATTTTAGTTTAACTTAAAAAACCCAAATAATATTTTGTAAATAGTTAAAATTGATAAATTGTAGTTTCTTCTTAATAATGATTACTAGTTGGTTGATAAAGTTAGATAAATATCAAACCTAAAGTGTAATTATAAACAAACTTAATTTCAATATTAAAATAACATATTTATTACTACTTATAAAGTTATGTTTATAACTTATCACATATTATACTTAATTTATTGGATTTAATATGTTATTGTATGTAAATCATTATCAATTTAAAACTACAATTTTTAAATAGTTTGAACAAAATACTTCAATTTTTAATTTAAATATAACATTACCATGTCAACGTAAGTATAAATTTCAATTACACTTAAAAAACCCAATGAATATTTATGAATAGTTAAAAGTGATAAATTGTAGTGCTAAATGCAAAAACTAAATTATAATCTCAATTTAACTAAAATATTTCATAATGATATTTGTATAATTGTTAAAAGGTTTTAAATAAATAACTTAAAATAACTTACAATAATAATAGTTAAAAATAATTCTATATAAATGATTATATTGTTACCTTTAAAATCAAAAAACAATGTTTGATTTTTTAAATAATTATAATGATAGAAATTAAAACGTTAAACAAATAAAATTTAAAAAATTAATTAACAATAACAACAACTATAAATAATATTAAACCATATATTATATTTAATTTTATTCTTAGGTAACTTTCGGATAGAAGTCATTCAAACGGTAGAGATTATGCGGTTATAATAGATGTATATAGTATCATATAATTGAAAATAATCAATATATTATATCAATTTAGTATATGAATTATTATATCAAATTTAACATATATATATATATATATATATATATATATATATATATATATATATATATATATATATATATAAAGATTTCAACTAGATAGGTGTTTCTACACAACGCGCGGACACTCGCGTAGTATCTATATATCTTATAAAGCAAACATTTTTCCTTGAACCTTATACATTTGAAACTCACATGCATTTTTTCTTTTACCACATTTAATTGAAACTCTCATGACTTTTCAATTTTTTCTAATAATAATTATAAGTTGGTTAATAAGGTTAATTAAATATCAAACTTAAAGTGTAATCATATAATATAAATTTCAGCATTAAATTAATATTTTTACTTCTAATTATAAAGTTATGCTTTTTAACTTTTAACATATTATACTAAATTTATTAATTTTAATATATTGTTAGATGTAAATCATTATCATTTTAAAGATACAGTTTTGGAACAATTTGTATCAAATACTTAAATTATTAACTTTAATATAACATTACATAGTCAAATTAAATATAAATTTTAGTTTAACGTAAACAACCCAATTTTTTTTTTGTAAATAGTTAAAAGTGATAAATTGTAGCGTACTTTTAATATTGATTATAAGTTGGTTAATAATGTTGAATAAATATCAAACCTAAAGTATAATCATAAATAAACTAAATTTCAGTATTAAAATATTATCTTTAATTTTACTTATAAAGTTATGTCTTTTACCTTTAACATATTATATATAATTTATTAGTTATGATGGAGTATTTCGATGATAGATACGTTGCCCTAGCTGAGACGGCTGCCGCGGCAGCTACAACGGTTGTAACAGCGGTAGGGGGAGGAGCCGGTCGGGGCTTCCAGTACCAGGACTTCGACAACACGAAGCCCCCAACTTTTGATGAGATTCAGGAACCTATCATAGCCATGAGGTGGCTATCGGACATCGAGGGGTGCTTTTCACATGTTCCTGCCCGATTGACCTGAAGGTCAGGTGTGCCCTGAACATTTTGAGGTCCAAGGAGAAGGACTGGTGGAGGTTGATGATAGGGTCTTATTCGGATGAGTGGAGAGCTGAAGTTTCTTGGGATCAGTTTAGGGAGATGTTCCGCTCGCTCTACATTCCACGGGTCGAGCGTGAGCGGATAGCTTAGGAGTTCTTGGAGTTGTAGCAGGAAGAGTTGAAGTCGGTGTATGACTTGGGATGCATGTGTACGATGTGAGGATATTCCATCCTAGGAATGAATGGACCCGTCGTAGGCATACCTGGTATTCCATCCCGAGACTGTTTGGGCCAGGCATGAGTGTTCGTATTTTAGTGGATTGATTTTATATGATATTGTGGGACTAATGTCCGTTAGAACAAAGGGTTCGCCTCAAGAAGAGGTAAAGATTTTTGATACTTTGGATCATCAAGATTTTGTCAAGATGGCAAAGTGGCAGGGAGGATACACCT